GAACCGCTAAGAACTGTGAAGCATGCCTACAACAGCAGAGGTTAAAACCGAATAATTGGGCACCATGGCCAGAAAACTGCGTTCCTTGGCAACGCATGCACGCCGACTTCTGTGGACCATTTCTCGGTCATTATCACGCACTAGTACCCATCGATTCGTACTCAAAGTGGCCTGAAGTGCTTCTAACCAGCACATCAACTACATCGTTCGTGATGAGGGTACTACGAAAGTGTTTCAATCGAGAAGATGTTCCACAAGTGTTGGTGACTGACAATGGATCGCAATTCTGCGCTGCGGAGTTGAAAACGTGGCTGGACAGTATCGGCTGCCGACATCTGCGCCCAGCACCACGTTACCCCTGCTCGAACGGCGCAGCGGAAAATTTGGTGAAAACGGTGAAGAGTGTCATTGCCCGTGCAAGCCCAGCGACAATTTCAGAGTTGGAGATACTCCTAGACAACTTCTTGCTGCAATACTGGAATGCCGCACATGCTATCACCAAAGAGAGCCCAGCGAAACTGTTCATAGCCAGAAGTTTACGGTCCTCACTACGATGCGTGGATTCAAGTGATGTCGTATACTTCCGAGGAAACGACCTGAGGCCATTGAAAGGAATCAATACCCACAAGATTGGCCAAGCTATGGTCGAGATCACAGACCTAAGAGATGCGATGGTTCATCGACGCCACATCGATCAAATTCACTTCAACAAAACTCCCACTTCGATTGAAGACCCTGCGGAAGAAACCCAAGAAAACCCGCCCTGTGATACACCGTCAACGACTACAGAAGATCACAGGTAGCAGCCCCCTATTTCGGGAATGTCTGCTGACGAGAATACTCCACTGACACTCCGACGACTAATCAGAAGAGCAGGCCAATTCGACGAAGCTCTCTTGAGGTAGGAGAGTTGTGGTGATTCAGGCCTACGTGATGACGCCTACCCTGGAGCGGCACGTTACAGTTTCTGGACACCTGCGATCAATCAAATTTGACGTCAGTGACACGCGTGCGACTTCTGATTACACGCCATAGGCAGATCGCGCCAGCCAATCTGAGACAGTGCAGACAGAAGCAGAATTATGCAAGCAATACTGCAGTACGATTAGCGGAAGCCTAGATAACCAGCGATTTTCTTTTGTACATATTATTTTATCACCTTCATTTCTTCCAATAAACGAACTACCATTCTTGCGGCATTTTCCTCGCATCTCGTTCACGTGGGATATTGCGAGCTCGTGCCATTGCGGTCAAGTGCTTCCGTAATCCAGTGCGTGATAGCTTATCCTTGATTCATGTCCTGTGATTCCTATTGCGTGTTTCTTGTTCCGAATTCCGTGGGTATTACTACTACTACGATCATTACAAATTGGCGTCGCGTGATGGAGCTTCCAACGAGCAAATGAACCTACATGCAAGCCCATCTGAGATCGAGAAATGGGTCAAGCGATTCGAACTGTGATGCAGTATTCGCAAAAGTGGTGCACAGAATCAATCAGTCCTATTTCTCACGGCTGGCGGCCGTGACCTCTACTCCCTGTTGAAAAACCTGGCGTTACAACAGGCTCCGGCTAAACTACCATACGAGTCCCTGAGGTGGTTGCTGCTCAACCACTTGCTGCCCACTGAGTTCCAAACACACGGAAGGGCCAAATTCTATTCCATGATTCGTGCCGATCATGTTTCCTACCGTGACTTCATCCTGCAGCTGAACAAACAGGCATCACGCTGCAACTATGGTGATCACCTGGAAGAACAAATGTGTGGTCGCTTGGTGGCAAGCATTAATAATCTGACTCTCCAACGAAAGTTGCTAGAGAAGAAAGATTTAACTTTTGCCGAGGCCCGCAAGATCTGTGAGCAACACGATGACCTGACGAAAGCTACTTCCAGCGACGCAGTCACATTATTTCAACGGCAGAAGACACGACCGAACCGACCTCCAATGGCCAAGTGTATACCGAAGCCGCAGCAAAACTCTTCAGGCAACGATAAACGTATCAATCCGTGTTTGTCATACTGAACTTACCATCTGCGCTCCAAGTGCCGCTTCCGAAATGCCAATTGTCATACATGCGGGAAAACTGGCCATATTCGGAAAGTGTGCAAACAGCCCCGTTGAAATCTTGCGGGAGGATAAGCTGAGGTACCAAGAAACGCTCTCACGGAAGTTCATTTCCAACCCGTCGCTACTATACAAACGTGTCAATATGTCGAGGAAAGTAAAGTATGGGATACCCGCACCCAGCTGTCTTGGGAAGGTCGCCGGTAACACCCAGGAAGCAGCTGAGATGCTGAACAACCAATATGCCTAAGTCTTCGATACATCCAAAAACGCGAGACTGCGGCTACCTCGTCGGATACTCTTTCTTCCAAATCCACCACTGACCACCTGCACGTTTGATGCCGACAGAGTGAAATCAAAGTATTCGGTGCAGACAATCTACATTCACAACCGCTTACTGCCTTAGCGGATCACATATCTGAGCCGCTAGCTTTTCTTTTCCAAAGGATGTTTGATGCAACCGTGCTGCACCAGTCTTGGAAACAAGGCATAATTCCTCCAATTTACAAAGGCGGCTGTCGTAGTGATCCTGCTGATTACTGCCCGGTGAAACTCCTACCCGTTCTATCCAAAATCATGGAATCCATCGTAGCGGATTTCTTGATGGAACACTTAGGGAAATACGACCTCCTTTCTCTAGCTTAGCATGGATTCCGTCAAAAGAGATCATGTACTACCAATTTGCTCCTGGCCCGCGATGAATAGACAAAGGCGATGTAGTTGATGTGGTTTACCTGGAAGCGTTCGATCGAGCGAGCTCGTGCCATTGCGGTCCAGTGCTTCCGTAATCCAGTGCGTGATAGCTTATCCTTGATTCATGTCCTGTGATTCCTATTGCGTGTTTCTTGTTCCGATTTCTGTGGGTAATACTACAATCATCACAAGCCTACACTTCGTGTTCCTTTCGATGTCCCGCGCAAATCAGCTCAGTGAACTGAGTCATAGAGGTTTTCGGTAATGGGGTTGCAAGTAATATCCTAATCAGAGCTTGGAATTTTTATACTGAGCTGATCCGCTGGGCTCTGCGTATAAAATAAAATATGTAGGACACCAGGGTTTTTGCGGGTACGCCGGTGACTGCTGTTTCGATTCACTTTTTTCTGTGAAAATACAACGTGAGTGAAGGGGACAACGACCGACAGTTATTGATGGAGGGTTGCATATGCTAAGTCAGGCTCTCGTTTTTTTAGAGTGAAATATTGCCAAAAGGCAACACAAAATTACTATGAAGTGCTGCTGCCCATCTGCGGCAACTTAACAATCGAACTGAGCCCAAATTATTCGCTACCAGCTGCTACTCTTGTAGCAATTCTGCTATCCACAATTTGAGGATGTATCAGCTAGCATGCATCTCTATCTTTATCGGAACTC